GATCCCATGAGTCGAAAATTTAAAGGTCTACCCATTAATAAAACCTTTCGCCAAACGGTGCTTGAAATGGGTTGGAGCGTATTTTACTAATACCCGTGTGGGTGTGAGCGCGTGAGTAAGCGGGTGTGACAATTCGTGTTATGTACGGCTATGCCCATACCCACATTTACCCGTACCTCCACCCTCACCCCCACACACCCACGCCCATTATAGGAGAAAATAAGCTCTTATCGCTTTCTTTGTCGAGTTTCCCAGTATAGTCCCAGAAACCGTCTTTTTGGATCTATAGCTGAAGGAAAGCTACAGTCGAAGGTAGTCATAATGTAGAGCACAATTTGCTCTTTCGAATGATGTATCATGAGGAAAATTATATTTTGAAATGGGCACGCAGGGGATCGTAAAGACATGTTGTTGAATAATTTTGGAACGAGGAAAAATGACATACTATCATTGTGCTGCTAATAAAACCTTAACAGGTCGGTGGATTGAACTGAAATTTTCTGTGAGTATACTAGATACTATGCCCTATAATATGACGAAAACTAGAATATTCTAGTCGGTCTAGCTTTTAAGATATAAACAAAACAAAAAAAAAATTATTTGCTTGTTGAATAATTTTGGTACTCACTGTAAATATATAATGAGGACCCATAGAGAATTTTTGGAGATGAGATAAGCTAAAAATGAGCTATTTTTTGACCCTTGTTTGGTGGATATCTCCCTCAAACTACATGACATAAGGCTGAAAATTTTACCAGAGGTTCCTCATTACAGTCAAAACATATCCTAAAAATTTCATGCAATTTGGTTGTACCTGGACTGAGATCGAATTTTGAGGGGGAGCCTTAAATCGACGGAAAGTTTAATAGAAAAAATTGTTAATCGATAAGTAAATATAAGCAGTTAGAAACATTGTTTTTTCACACATATTATTTATCTCCATAGAATCTTCTTTTTTACTAAACTTCATTTCTGTATGTATTCCTGTAGGGAATGTTTTATTAAATAGTTATGTAAATCTTCCATCAAATTGTTATTCCGTAAGTAATCTTCCAACAAATACCGAATGGACACTTGTAACAAATGTATATTCTCCAGTTGCATCCAATGCAATGATTGTTGAATCTCGAGAAGAATTAAAATCTATTTCAACAGATTCAATAACAACAGAAACTTCTTCTCAAATAACATCCAGTGACAAATCACCAATAAATGGAACTGATATGAAAACAGAATTTGATAATTCTCCTAAAAAAACAATTTAAAACAGGTCATGTTGAAATCATTATCTGTGATCTTCAACGTCAGTCAAAAAGAAATTCTAAAAAAAATATGAAAATAAATGAAATCGTTTAACTGCTGTCCTGATTTTGTGAAAAAAAACAATTTATTATTCAGATCAGAGATTTTTATTCAGGTAATATCAGAACAAAATTAAACTGACAATGAAGGAAAATAGCAATAGACATCTTTTGGATAAGCTATTGGATTTTCAACAATTAGTTGTCTCACTCTAGCACAATTACGCCGTGTTTCATTTCTTGTAAAATATTTTGTCACAATTTGCAAACTGTAATAAAGGACTTTTAATTCTGTTAAATGAGGTAAATATGCTTTTGTTTCATTGAGAAAATCTTCGACATAATAACTATGTGCACGTTCCATGTCAAGTGAAATAAGATGAGGATATTCAATAATTGAGAGCCAGTCTTTATCGCGAAGGTGATTATTTTGATCGAACAAAAATGGTCGTACAATATTCCGAATAGATAAATTTTTAAGAAATGGAAAAGCTCGAGCAAGTCGAACGAAAAATTTATATTTGAATGGATCTGTGTCCCATAATTTTAAATAAGTAACAGAATTAAATATAATATTTGGAATGTTATTTGTAATGTGTTCAAGACGATGAAATTTAAATGGAAGTGAAAAAATGCGACATATCATTGTGTCAGGCTTGAAATAATCTACCATACAAGCCACTTGTCGATGTTCTATATTTGTGAACGTTCGTTGAATATCATCATTAGATACACGAATAGTTGGATCAGCAATGACATTTTCAGAAGCGATATAAAATATGAATGTATGAAGTTGTGGCATATGAATAAGAATTTCATTATCAAGATGAGTGCCAGCGATGAATTTAGATCCACCAAAGATATGAAGATATAAAGTTAATTCTTCGAGATATATCATTCGATGAAGAAGACGTACAATTACATTGTCAAATCCTTGGAAACTACGATAACACGTTAATGAGAAACATTTTAAATTAGGTAGATCATTCTGAAAAATAGAAAGCAAATATTTATAAATTCATCTTTATCAGTTGAGCTAACACATAAATTTACATCAACTACCAACCAATATATATTAGTCATTTTAGACATTCTGTTTTTAAATGTTTCTTATATTCTATGAAATATATCTATTATCTAGTAACTATGATGATAAAGATGATTACTTTGTATTTGTTTGTTAAGTTCTCACACATAGAAACTAGTGAATAATTAAACAAAACTATCAAATATTATATAAGAATAAGTTTTCTTAGCATGTTTCAAAGCATTTAGTAAGATTCATTATATGGATGTTACAAGACAAAAATATTAGTAAAGAAAATTAATAGTTCTTTTAAATATGTATGTTCA